AGTATATAGCGTATACATCCTTAACAGTAGCTCATCAACTATCTTGAGAAACTATCAAGACACTTATATTTATCTTGCACAGTAGCTGACGTTTGCGAGAATCATAGCCGAATCGTTGACTCATCATTTATTGCACATGCAATATACGAATTCCTTCCCAGTACTGTCAAGTAACGATACAAATACAGATTCATCAGCATTTAAATCTTAATAACATGATAAGAAGCTTCTATTAATCTTTTACATTCAGTATAACATGCATGAGTGATGAAATTCATCTCGTTTCTTTTTTTAAAACATTTACCTTCGACAGTACTTATACAGATATAATAATAGTATTAATGATGTATTGGCTATACAGTCAATCCCAAAAGTTTATGCACTTTAGAAAAACGCATAATAATTCGCTTGGAAGGACGCGCTTGCTATAAATCTCTCGTCCTTTAATCTTTTCATTCTGAGGTTTGGAACGTGTTACGAACGACGCATAAGAAAAATCCACCTGTAATTACGATAATCATTGCTTTATTTAAGTACGTATTACTCGACGTTATCTATGTAAAATATCGTCCAACACGACACAGCACGTGCTTTCATTCCAACCATAAACGTGACCTACCGCTGCCTCTGGTACCAAATGTACGTACGTACGTGTATTCATTTTTCCACTTTAAACGCGTAGCAGACGATACGGTAGGCTCGAATTATAGTAGGCCTCCTATTTCGTATCACCAGTTACCATAAATTGAAACATTTTATGAGAACGAGATTAATGTATATCAGAAGTTGATATCCTCGACGTGTACGATATTCAATTTGCATACGTCAATTAGTAATAAATACGTCATTAAATAAATATGTAATTACTTAGCACGTCATATGTGTCCATCGTTTCCAAGGAACTGAATTTTAAAACGATTTTCGATAAATCATCGATCTATTAGGTGATTTTGTCTAATTGCAACGCCGATCCTGTTTTTGTATTTGGAAATTTTTTCACGTAGGCAAAATTCGCCAACTGCAAACGCACACGCTCGGAAAATACGAATATTTCACGTACATACGTACAATAAATAACAACTATGGTTGAAACGAATGTACATATATCACTCATCGCAGATATTTACGTACGTGCAGGTCGTGGAAACAAATGGCGGTTTCTTTACACCGTGAGTTATGTAAGTACTTATATCTACGATATACGTTGTATTAGCAGATATAATAAGGCGTACTTTCGTGAGTGTGACTTCATTAATCTTAAAATGCAATTTTTATCAGACTCGTATGAAGCAGTTAAAAATCCTTTAGTGTTCCTTCGCGAATAAGAGTTATTTCCCTAACAGCACTCAACATTCCAACAGTGCATTTATACGTTGCAGTGCAACATTTCTCACAATTTTTATGTATTTGTTATATCGATATTATTGAGAAACTTCAATACAATTAATCATAAACGAGATCATAATCGTAATCACAATTATAACGTAAAGGAATTATAGAAACACCATCTGTACTTTCAGAAATTTGAGGCAATCTTACAGCAACAGAAATATTGCGATCTTGCAGTACATTTTTGCAACGTTGCTGCAATATCGAGTTATTAAATTAAATCTTGCGACATTTGAAAAGAGACTTAATTTGTCCAATGAGTTATTTCGCCTCGGAACAAGTCCGAGTATTAATGGGAGTGATAGTGTAAATCTTGTCAGTGGTGTAACATTTCTAATACGATAAAGCCGGTGGAAGTGCTTGCTCGCGAACGGTATAGCAAATGTCCAAACGGGCCTGTTAGACCTTCTTTATCTCGGGAGGGGACCAGGCCACGCGAGGAGGCCCCGTCAAACCACCGGGCGCCGGTACATTTCCAGCCAAAAGCGTTCGACTTTTCCAACGTATACTGGCGCAGGTCGGGGAACAGCAAGTAAGTATTCTATTCTGAGACGCGATGCGTTGCGAGCACGAAATTCCTAGCGTAACTTGGTCCCATCTTATCGAGATGGATACCCAGTTTCTGCGTCAGGGAAAAGTCGAAAGCCTGTTCTTTCCTTTTACGTCATTTCACAGTCATTCCGCAGACTCATTACGTATTTAGATTTGCGATTTCCCTTTACGTTCCATCCGCTTGTTTCAGACTCTTTCAAGGTAAACGGTCGGTTCACCGATAGAAGTAATCCGCTCTTTTCTCGTTTCATTTATTAATGAAACTCTGGACATACTCTTTCTGATAAAGAAAAGGGATTATTGTAGATAATTCATCATTTAATTTATTCAGGATAGACATTTTTCACAAGTAATTTATTATGCAATTAATAAACAAGCATACATCATGGAAATCAAATAAATCATTTTATGATTCAATATATTAAATGATTGTAGAATAAAGCTTTTAATTTTAATAGGAATATTCAGTCCGAATTTCCATAAATGGAAACTTTAGCAAAATGATGACTTGCTTCCTGAAAAGGGTTTGTATATTGGGATTATTAAATAATCCAGAGAACCGCAAGTTCGATTGCGACTAATTGAAAAAGCTGCATGGTTGAGATTGACCTTTAAGTACATAATAACCGGTGGACGGAATCTGGTTTTTAGGCACAGCTACGTAACGTCTACGTCTACGAGGCAAGACGTTATGGTAGCCGACTGCCTCCCAGTGGAAATTTCCATTGCAGTTAGCATGTGCTATGTGGTGTAACTGTACAGTCCACCATAAAAGTAACCGTCCCTGTTTAACCGTTCGTTCTAATTCCACTCGTTAAGGAATCATTTGCGGTAAACGAAATAATTAGTTGATTAGTCTTGCAATATTCGCGATAGATCAAAATTATTTATGATTTTTTAATGAATTCATTGATCGAATTTTAATAAAACATCACTTAAATTGAAGTTAAAGCCCCAGAACTATAGATATATCATTTAGAATGATACAAAATTATTATTTATTATAAAAATTCGTCGCGAAACGTTATTCTATATACACACAATATAAATAATCGTTCATAGTTTTGGCGGCTTCATTTCGTATTCACGTATTGGTAAGACTGCGCGTGGCTAACTTCACGCACAGAGAAAATATTTATAAGAAAAACAATTTTTTAATTTCCTAAAGAATTGATTTATATTTTTAAGATCTGTAGTTTTAATTTAAGTGGCGTTTTATTAAAATTTATTAAAATCGCTGTAGTAAGTATGTCTAGTAACTCAGGGATAGAAAAATTTGATCACATAATTATATTGCTTGTTTGTCGACTGAGACACTAATGTTTATTATTTGACATTTCTGATTTGTAAACTGCACATGTATTTTAATAAATAATTCCGATCCGAGCGGATGAGTTGATATTTAAAATACGTGTTCCATCATGGCAATGGTTTTCTGAACACAGCTTGACCCTGCCACTTGGAATTCTAAACTTCGAACCTTGAACTGTACTAACGTTCCTGTGCATCTTTTTGGATTTTCACGTGAAAAGCATAAACGATCTGCATAAAGATACATAAGTTATCGTGTGACTCAGCGAATTGATCAGAGAGCATTATTCTTGCATTATTTTTCATGCGAACGGTTCTTATCCTTAAGGTGATTGCGATACGAGAAACGATCAATCGGTAGCGTGTCGTAAAAATAGTAAAACAAGAAACCTATACGTCCTCGACTGTCGCACGTATTTATGCAAGAAAAACAGTATTCTCTTTGATCGTAATTTATTCTACTGGTCGCTCTCGTTCCAACGGTCAACGGTCGGTATCGATTCTGGGTCTCGGTTGATAGAACCGAACGAACCTACCATGCTACGTGTTCAACATCTGTCACGCAGTTCTATTGTAAAACACGATGCAACGATATGATGCCCATACCGTTGTCGAATCATCGTTTCACGGTAGAAAAATTGGTTGACGATCGTAGAGAGATTGAGTGTTGTTTATTAAGTCGAGTGCGAGGATTCACACTTAGGCAGGTTGCCTGAAACAATCTCGCCATGTAGTTTAATAGACAGTCAGTGGAGAGATGTTTTGGCACGTTGAAAATTCGATTCGGTGTAGTGGAATCCGATGTTTCTGATTGAACGTCCTTTATCTAAGGGATTCTGTAAAACGTAACGGCACTAAAATGTCCACGTTGAAAGTGAGCATTCAGGACAAGAAAGACTTGGACAAGTTCACCAAATTCTTGGCATACAAAGCTGCTCAAATTATAGTGCAGTCGAGATCAGGTGAAAAGGTCAATACAAACTGCAAACCGAATTCGTCTGGAACGGATTGGGTAAAGATACACTACGTTTATTATAGTTTAATCTATGTGTAAATTGGTCTCCCTTTGGCGTAACTCATTTAAAAGACATTCACTGTCTCTTGCATGGAGAGTCGAGTATAGATCTTCTGTTACTTGAACCAATATTTGTTTCTATATGTTTTATAGTTCAACCTGGCTATTCACGAAGTGCCAGATGTCTTGGCAGATGCTAAGAAAGTGCTCTGTGGAGAACTGATCAATTCGACTATATCACTTTGCATTGAAATTTCCTTGAGAACGATCGAAGGCGACACAATGGTTTTGGAAACGTGGAGTCTGGGTGTTTTACCTGAGCACAGCGATCCCACTGTGAGAGTGACGTACACTGTATATAACAGAATGGGTGTTTTGTTGAAGTCGTTACTGTCTGTATCGAGAGTTACCCCAGCTTATAAATTGAGTAGAAGGCAGAGTCCGGATTCCTATGTTATTTGTTATAGAATTTATATGGGAGAGCCTCAGCTACATACACTGGGTATAGAATTATTTATGGGAACTCAATGTATATCGTTAAAAATTACGTTGGTATATCCCAATCTTATTCCTTTTAGGTGATAATTATAAACATGTTAGGGTAGGTCAGTTGTGTACGCCAGTAGGGACGATTCATTTAGCAGTATCGTACAGAACGAAAATGGCTATCTCTCCGAGTCACACTGACCGCGACTCGATAATGCTAAAAAGCGACCACTTCCATTCTGACTTGAGTCCGCGCCACGCGCGATATCAACAAAGGTAAATAATGCAGCGTACGTTTTGAATGTGTGATGCATCGAAGTGAATTTGGAAATGTGTTCTAGCGAAGACATAGCGAAATCGTTGAATGAACCCATGAAAAACGTGGCGTTCGCACCTAATCCTGTTATCATTAAGGAAGAGGACTACCTCATACCGGATATACCTTTAGGCCCTTTGTTTTCTAAAAAAAAATCAACGCCTACGGTCTCGATGAGTGAAACTACAAATACAAAGACTGCGACGACTACTGCTACTCTTGCTAGTACTTCTTCTACTGCTACCGCGACTGCGATGGCGACTACTACGGACAGCAGCAACGGGAACAATGAGAGGTTCGCGAACGACAACGCAACGTCGAAATGCAACTCTCAGAACGAGTCGAGGAGAAGCAGTTACTCAATGACTAGTGCCAACAATGATTTTATTATGGTAGATTGGGTAATTAACGTTCCTCTACTTGCAGCGCGGAAGAAACGTTTGATTTATCTAAGATCCTACGTTATAGAATCCGCCTTTCGCTACGACGACCCCAACCAGCGAGCTGTATGATTTCTATCGCGAGTGCCAGAACGCGCCTCCGCTTCAGGGCTCCATGGAGGAAAGAACGGTCGCCGAACAAATCGGCGGAGACCTTACTCAAGTGTTGGAAACATTCGAAGCGGATCTGCACCGGTATGAAGACATTCTGTCGACATTTTTTCCACCAGAGAACAATAACTAATATCAAACGATTACAATGCAACATTAGGTGCTTCGACGAGAAATTGTTAATATACCTGTGCGCGCACGAGAATGAAAGTGGAGAGTTTCGTTAGACTGACTTATTTCTATGTAGCGTGAAACATTTGATCGTGAGAAACGTAAAAATATGTTGAAGAAACCCGTTTTCATTCTCCTGTACGCATACATACATACATACATACGATTGGTATATAATGTCTCGCAATAGATTTGTGCAAATTTTCGTTGCGAGCCCAGAGCATTTCAATAAAATTTTTAGACAAACGCTATCACCGCTTCTGATTACCTACATAAATCAATTGAATTCAGTAATTCAATAAGAGTTTCATTTGTACGTGTATAGAACTGAGGAAAGACCGACTAGTTTGAAAGATACATCCGAAAGAGGAAGATCGACTAGTTTGACTGATACATCCGGCTTGTAAATACCATTTCCATTTCCTTTGAATTTTCAATCTGTCTGGTAGATAAAAATTATTTCATTTCACACCGTGAACTTTTTATGTGAACGAATGATATATATATTTTCACGTATCGTCCGTTCATATAAATTGTATTTCTCCAAGTACGTTGTAAGCACACTCTTAAAGGACTTATTAAATGATACAAATTTATGGATGAGCGATAGTTAGCTAATGTATTTCGAAAGTTAACTTATTGCTTGTACATAGTGTAAATTGTATTTTAATGTTACGATCATCATGAAACAATTAAATGCGATATAAATTTTTAATGTTTAATTATTTCGATCACTTAAAATGAATCAGGCTGTGCTAGCTATTCGCGAATAAAACGCTTTAAGACACGCTGAATTATATAATTTAATCGACCGCTCCTAATTATAAGATAACATCTGTAGAGTAATAAACGATTGTAAGAAAAAATGAAACAATTGGAAATCCAACTATTTTTATAAAGATGTTTCTATCATTGTATTTAAAATTATAATTCCTTGTTCAATATACAAATAGTTGAAATAGATCTTTTGCTAGAGTTTCTCGAGTTTTTAAGTTCCTATTTTTCTTTTAATTTCAAGTCTTAGAGAAATTGTACCGCGATTATGTTTATAACGACGATTTGTTGGTCGATTTTAATTATGTCAAAAACGCTTCGATCTTGATTTCTATACTGCCGCTTGAATTATTAATAAAAAACACCAATTGTGTTATGATACTACGTGCAATTTCATTTATAGGTATGCTCCGACTGCATCCGACTGGAATGATTAAAACGAAATAAGTCGCGAACGAACTGTACATATGTATATATATAGTGAATGAGTATTAATATTGTGAAGCACGGGAAACGGATGAAACATGGCGGACTCAGCAGGCAATTGGTGTCTCATCGAAAGCGATCCCGGTGTTTTTACGGAATTGATAAAGAAATTCGGTAAATCTTCATAACAATTTAACACGCATAAACTTCTAATTAGTGTAATTGCATTGGACAATGTTCCATACGCGGCGTTTACACTAATTGACAGTTGCTTCGGAAGTACATTTGTTGTTTTCATTGTTCGCGATAAATTTAATAGGATTAATGTTTGTTAAAGGTGTCCTAGGCGCTCAAGTAGTAGAATTATGGTGTCTGGATGATGAACAATTTGATAAATTAAAGTAAGTATCTTTGTTACTTGACATAACCTATTCGATGTATTCTCAGGTCAAGCATTTTTTTTTCAATCGAGATCTCTCGTGTTAATACATGAAAATTTGTTCTTTATCACTTAGGCCTGTACACGGTTTAATATTTTTATTCAAATGGGTGCAAGACGATGAACCCTCCGGAAGTATTGTTGTAGATAATAGACTGGATAAGATATTTTTTGCGAAACAGGTGTGTGTCTTAATACAGATTACACTTAATACACATTTTATTGAAATATTCGAAATGACTTGCAGGTTATTAATAATGCATGCGCGACGCAAGCGATACTGAGCGTATTACTAAATTGTAAGCACCCGGATATATCGTTAGGATTGAATTTGGAAGAGTTCAAGAACTTTTGCCAAAGTTTCGATGCCAACATGAGAGGACTTGCTCTCAGTAATTCCGACGTGATAAGAGAAGTGCATAATTCTTTCTCAAGGTATATCGCAATCTGTTTCACACTTGCTGTTTATAAAACTTTAGAAATTGGAACTTGTAATTATTTATTATAGCCCAGCAATATTTGAGTATGAACCGAAACAAGCGTCTAAAGATGATGACGTGTTTCATTTCGTGAGCTATGTTCCCATCGATGGGCGATTGTACGAACTGGATGGATTGAAAGAGGGACCAATAGACTTAGGTCCTTGCCCATCGGGAGATCAATGGGTACAAGCAGTGAAACCTATAATACAGAAAAGAATAAACAAGTATAATGAGGGAGAGATACACTTCAATTTAATGGCGATAGTAACAGAGAGAATAATGCTCTATTTGAGACAGAAGGCGAGCACTACTGACCCAGCTGAATTGGACCGTTTGCAGTCATTGATAAAAGATGAAGTGCGGATATCTAGACGGTACCAAATCGAAAATAATAGACGGAAGCACAATTACTTACCATTAATAATGGAGCTGCTTAAGATACTAGCCAAAGAAGGGAAACTAGTACCTCTGTATCAAAGAGCGAAGGAACGAGTGTTATTAAAGGAATCGAGGAAGAATAAAGTATAAACTTGGATTTATCTCATAAAAACATCGGAATACATGTATGATATTCAATCATTACAATCTAAATTATAACAATCCTTTTTTTAAAAATAAATGTACATAATAAACTTCTGGCCGTCATCCTACTAGCAAAATTAATTTATATCAAAGTTATTCCGAAGTTTTGATCACTTTTTAACTGCTAATTTCATCGTTCGTTTATCATGGGTCTTCGTCTTTTATTTTGACTTTCCCCTTACGATAAATGAGCCTTGGAAGGAATTTGTCAGTTTCCTCGCTCATTATGAGCTTTATTTTTTTATTATATAAGTATTCTATGATATCTGAAATGCATTTAAAATTGTTACGAGGACATTCGACATTTATAACGTAGATACATAATTCATTGACTTACCAGGAAAATGTTTTGTATGTAATTTAAAAATTGCGTCTCGTACGAGATAAAGAAATGTCCTACATAAGAAAAAAGTAGTGACCCCATCGAAATACTTAGCAACGTTCGACCATACTATTTCTCTGGTGCTCGAAATTCCTTTCCCATATACGCTGCAATTATTTAGATATTGCCAATAGATGTTTATAAGACAAATACTGTTAAGAGTACCAACTATTTAATTACTTACTACTCAATTAGTTTTATCCTTATATCATTTAAATAAATAGGTTCTGGAGAAAACAATTGCATGTGCAATTGATTCATCCAAAAGTGATGTAACGCATTGCTGTCTATGTTAAGTTTCTTCTCTAGCTTCCGCCAAACTGACAATGGGATACTAGCGTCTTTTAAATCTTCAACGCTTTCGTTTAACGTCACATCCATAAAAGTGTTGATAAATTTACCAATGGACTGCAACGTCCATTTGACTTCAGACTTCGTCGCTGTTAACAAACATAATTAAATGACCTCCTTGATTCATGTCTCGAAGCTACGGATCGATAGTTGAAAGAACTCACATTTTTTATTCTTTAGGTTTTGTTTAATACGTCGATAGCGTTTGCAAATCGCGTCTTTTGGACGATGCAGAATCGAACTCAATCTGACGAATACATCGTGTCTGCTAGTTTTCTTTACATAATTTAAAATTTTTTCATCATCAGCCGTGGAATACCTAAGAGAATATAATAAAAAGTCAGACGAATATGTAATTGATGGGTTTTTAATACGACTGGATTTGATTTGAATACCTGGATTTTGGATTATAGCCCGCGTGTAAATGTCTAAATCTACGGTAAATGCTTTGCAAAGTTCTCCATGGTAATCCGTTTGCTAAAAATTGAATGAACTTCCGCCTCTCTTTCTGGCTTTTTATATAAAATTTAGTACCATATTTCATCTTGGTAAACGGTTTTGTACATTTCGGATTCCAGTTGTGCGTCTATAAGAAAAACAGAACTAGTATCGTTAAATCCAATATAAGACAATGACGCTAATATACCTCGCAAAATGTATGCCAGTTCTTTATAATAATCTTGTCTTCCTTCGGCGTGTATTGGCCGGTTTTCATCGGTCCATGCCTCAAAAATAGTTTCTTCTGACTTTTTGTTAAAGACTTCGTACCAGCTGTGTGTTCAACTTTATGCTGCGGTGGCACTTCGTGCATCAATTTTATTTTTATATTATATAACTCCTAGAAAAATAAGAAGTTATTAAAATTGTGCCGTTTACTATAGAAATCGAGCAGGGATGTTTAGAGTATCTTATAAATATTCTGCACCTTCAATGCATTTTCAGATAATTCGTCTGAACACGATTCATCTGATTCCTCTATTTTATTCTCTTCCCAATGTTCTTCTTCTTGTGGCTCTTCATTTTCCGCTTCTTCTTCTTCCGATAATTCAATATCTAATTCCCCTAAGATCTCTTTTATGTAATCATTCATTTCTGTGTCATCGTTATCAACATTTTTAGTATCCTCCGAATTTATTTCTTGAACTTTTACACTATCGATAGTTTCGTTTTCGTGAATTAAGAGAGGATCCACTTCTGGTTCTACAGTCTTTACCGTGTCCTCTTCAGTTTCCATAGCATTGTTAGTCGTCGAACAAAAATTGTCTGCATCTAATTTACTTTCCCCAAAGTTAATCACAGAACTCAAGTCGTGTAACATATCTATATGTTCAAATTCGTTATTACACAACTCTGTTTTAAGCCTTTCGGACAATTGATCATAATTACTAATATCACTGCTGAGTCTCCTTCTTTTTTGTTTACTAGGTGTATCATCATTGGAGTTAGGACGTTTGTCCATTTGATGTTCCTCGTTCTCAGTTTTGATATCCTCTGATAGCCAGTTCTCTAAATTTGTATCTAAATTACTAGGAGTAGAAATCTGTGGATTATTCTCTGTCTTAACGTCTGTAATTTCTACACTTTCTTCATTATGTCTTGTAGGATCTGCACGTAAGTCTTCTATTTTACAAACAGTGATTCGTGAACGATGACCATCATCATTGCAATCAGATTTAATTTCTGTATTCTGTATTGTTAAATCCTCTTCTTTCACCTTGACGTCATCGTTAATCAAAGATTCGGTATTATTATTAAAATTGCATTCACGGTTTGGTCCATCGTTTGTAGTACAATCTGTTAATACATTCTTGTTCTCCTTGTTGTCGTGTTCTGTAACTTCGTCTACAGCTTGTAAAACTCTGTTGTCATTGAAAAATGAACTGTATAACGAATTATTTCGTTTTCTTTTTCTCAACGATCGAAAATTGATTTCATTCGGAGTCGAGGTGGTCAAAACCATTCTAATCCCCTTTGTAAGTACCTCTCCTTTACATTGAGAAATACTTAACCCTAATGATGATTTCTATTCTTAAAAGTTGTGAAATATAAAATATCTATTAAAACTTTAATTCTATGATAAATTGTCATTTAAGTTACTTTATATTAGCACTTTAGTCTCAATCGTGTGACAATCACTCGTAACGTCAAAGAGGTTATAAACGTGAGGGCCATGTAAGAGCACGTGTTGAACAGGTTAAAGTGTTGGATTGAATGGAACTTGTACTTGTAGTGCTTGTAAACAGACGCGCGTGGAGAGGGAATTTTACGAGCGGCATGGAAATTGTCCAATTCAAAGAGAATCTAACCCTTGTTGATCCAGGCCTACAATTAATCCTGCTTTCCTGAATTGAAAATTTTTCGTATTATTTAGAACAGAGGAATGAAAGGATCTCTCGTGTATGAATGACGTAAACACATTGATTAATTTTTATATTTAAGCTTTATTTTTCGTGAATCTCTCGTAAAAATTGCGCCAGTTTGGAATCCGCGTTGGCAGACGCAAGTCTTCTTTCTAAATTCTCGAAGTCTACCTTTTCCAGCCATGCAGGAGGGTCGATTTCTTTCTCAGGAAGGGGACAGAGCAATCGTTCGACCGCGGCGCACAAACCGCACCAGCTACGAAAATTCAATGGTTTCTTTATTTCGCCTATCATATGATTCAGGTACGTCTCGTGGACTTTAGTGATGGGACTCCCGATTACGTCTTCGAGAGCTTCGAAGATCTCACTGGGAGAAATTTGTCTAATATCTTGTGTCACGTCTTCTTGAAATTTGTTGAAAGTCTTGGCGAAGATCAGTTTTCTCCCAGGGGAAACGAATACGTGCTTGCTGAGGTATTCCAAAACTGTTATACCTGATATATCAAATCATTTCAATCACGTCTGGTAATCGACGAAACATTATATTATTTTTATTAGATAGTTGCCTACCGTTTAATGTTTTACTACCGAGGATCTCGAAACGAGCCGCTTGCCGGGAAAACACCCGCGGTGTATCTGCCAAAACGGAGCTCGAAAATATCTGAGCCCGCCTTGCACGTGTAGAACTTTCACTTTTCACACGCAAAGCTTCTTCGAACGCAATCCTCCTCTAAAAATTGTATAAATCACTTGATATCCAAGTTAATATTGGAAATAATTCTTACTCTGATCGAAAACTCTGCTTCTACTTTGTAATTATCTAGCTCTCTGCATAAATGCTTTAAAATATCGCCGTCGATGAAGCTAGAAAGTGTCGTTGAAATTGCATTGCTAATGGCAGACGTTTTCTTAGCGGAAGTCACTTGATTATCTGGTTCTTCATTATTCGTATGAATCCTATATAAAAGATAAAAGCCAGGTAATTGAAGTTCCCAAACATCTGAACTACTGTGTATTATAAATTCTGTGTTTCTAACGATGTTCTCCTGGATCCATCTCCTAAATGCGAGATCTGAGTTTCTGTTGGTTCGAAGAAATCGCAGATTTCTGCCTGTTGCCCGTAAATCGATCGCCTTCTACTTTTCGTCTTACGCAACCGTTTCCCTCGTCTACGAATGACCACACGTTCTTTATTTTCTGTTTTGCTCTTTTCCATATTTCTACTTGAATTCTGAAGAACATTTTCTATCATTAACGAAAGAAATTCTCCTAATCTAAAAATATAATAATAAATACCAATTCATCGTCGATGTCTTCTCTGCGGAATGAATCGAGAACATCGGCTGCTGAGTTTGGAGTGTACACTCGATGTTCGCTCGTACGTTTGAAAATCGGTTTGGATATAAAAATCTCAGTCTTTCGATAAGTCGGAGGCGGTTCCAAAGTCAGGGCGTGCCAAGTCAAAGTTTCATTTTCCTACGAATTCCAAAAGATTATTTTTTAAATACTGATAGGAAATTTCAAGTTTATCTAAAAGGACAAACCATCTGTTTCTGTAGATTCGTTCTCAAATCTAAGACCAGTGTCGGACGTTCTCGAAGATCGCGGGCCATCGGGTATTCATCCTGGACGAGTCTGCTCGTCAGAGCGGAGCCGCTGGCGAGCGTCGGCGCCGGGGTTAAAGGCCTCGAGTCGGTTTCCGTGTATTTACGAAACAATTCCTCCGGCACGGTCGCAGGATCGTTGGTCGATTCGGTGGGGATCACAGCCTGACCCACTAAATTCTCTCTGATCATCTCCATTTCTTCTGGTAATAACAGAGCCTTCCCTTTAGTTGCCTAAAGAGAGAGAGAGATTTGATATCTCTTTTATTTAGTCGTATTTAGATTAATGACTCGTTTAAGTAAAAAGTTTGATTACCCATGTATTTTTGGCTCGTTGAAGAACATCTTTCGCTTCGCAGTCAGTTGGGTGATTGCACAGTACGGAGCATCCATAGGGATAAGGATTAAAGAGGCCAGAGAAGGGTCGTAGAATCAGAGGTGCTGGTTTCGTAAAACTTGAAAGTTCTACTCTCTGTAAAGCATGTTTATTTATTTCTAAAATATGAACAGAAAAAACTGTAATCAGAATGTACCGAGTCTTTTTCACTAATTCATTACCACGAAGTAAAACAGTAATAATGCTTTAATTAAATCACCTTCGTTTTGGGCCGATGGACCGGCCGAGTCCGTGCTTCCAAAAGACCCGTTGCACTCGCGATTCCAGGCATCGGCTTGAATAAAACTGTTACACGCAGTAGCAGAGTCGCGAATACATCAGACATCAACGCGGTCGAGTCGCTAGCTCCCTTAGAAGCGCGTTGCTAATGTAAGTTTGATCGGTCGATCGGTGAAACTATGTATGGAGTTCAATAC